TGTGTCCTGGCAGGAATACCTCCCCAGCCACCATGGAGTTGGGCATCTTCTTCCCAGCCTCTGGACCCCACAGGCATGGTCAGGTGCTTGACCAACATTAGGCAAGTCCCTGCGTGGGTACTCCTTTGATGGCCCAGTTCTGACTAGACTGTATGCCATCCTTGCTGAGGGCAGCTGGGACCGTTCTCTCTGCTTGACACAATGGCCCAAGGCTTTAGTTTTCTGGGTGATGGCTCTCACTGGGACTGTGTTTAGACCTCTATACAGAAATACAGAAATGAAGGTGCCACCCACTGTGATTGTGTAAGTCACTTCTGGCCCTGGACTAGTGTGACTTCCCTGTCAGTGAAGCTCCTGGCTTGCCATGACCTTGTCCCTCTCAGCTTCTTCCTGAGCTGCACATTGTGGCATGTTGAGTTCCAAGTGACAGAGGTGCTGTCCAGGAACAAAGTCTTCCCAGGCACCACACCATGTTCAAGGAACCTTCCCCCTAGAAAATTTCAAGGTCCCTAACATTGCACACTTTCGGCCACAAGGGGGCAATAAAGGCAGTTTCTACCTCCCGGATTCTGGAGGTGCCTCATCTGGGAGCACTTTGGGCGGGAGGGGCATCCTGCCTTGACTCTTCTCCTAAGTGAGCCTGGCTACCAGGAGAGGCCACTTCCTCTTCTCCAGCTGGACTCTGAGCTTGTGGAGTTTCACAAAGGTATAGGGACAGTTGTGTTCCCTGTTGGCCTCCCCTCTGTGTGTGGATCCGATACTATCTTTGATGACAGAGAGTGAGGTGGGAGACAGCTTTAGAGACGTCGTGGGTAGTGGTCTCGGCTTCCCCACTGTTCACGGAAAAACTGAAGGTTTCCCTCTGGTTTCTTCTGCTACTGGTCAGACGGCACTTCAGCCCCAGAGGCTTCACAGAGAAAGATACTGCCTAAGGTCTTCTGGGCTCCCATAGCTGGGGTAAGGCCTGCATCCCAACCCCAGAGGCTTCACAGAGAAAGATACTGCCTAAGGTCTTCTGGGCTCCCATAGCTGGGGTAAGGCCAAGGCCTGCATCCCAACCCCAGAGGCTTCACAGAGACAGGATACCTTCTAAGTCTTCTGGGTTCCCACAGACAGGGTAAGGCCTGTGGTAGGGTTTTATGGGGGACAGAGAGTGAAGATAGTTATCTTCTTGGGATGAAAGACTGGTATTGTCTCCAGCCACAGAGCTCCTGAGACACCATTTTCAAGGTGGAATTACCTATGACAGGATCTTCTATGGCTAGCTGTGACTTGAAAAAAAAAAACACAATATCTGACTGGAGAGATGGCTCAGTGGTTAAGAGCATTGGCAGCTGTTCTAGAGGTCATGAGTTCAATTCCCAGGAACCACATGGTGGCTCACAGCCATCTATAATGAAATCTGATGCCTTCTTCTGGCATGCAGGTATACATGCAGATAGAGTACCATATACATAAAATAAATAAATCTTCAAATATTAAAAAAAGAAAGAAGAAAAAAAAACTATCTGCACTGAGTGCATAGAGTTTTCTTGCCATTATCCCCAGACAGAGCAGGGGAGCATCTATGTCCATGGCATCATGAATGTTTGTAGAAAAGGGAAGCTGAGGTGGGATTCCCCTTTGTTAGGAGAGAGAGCCTTGGGACCATGGGTGGTCATGACCAGACCTTGACATGGGAGAACAGAGGGTTAGGAGAGAGAGAGAGAGAGAGAGAGAGAGAGAGAGAGAGAGAGAGAGAGACAGAGACAGAGACAGAGAGACAGAGAGACACAGAGAGAGAATCGGTCCAGAGGCAGGATGAGGTTCTAAAGGCAGAGGGAGCACCTTCAAAGCCCTTAAGGGAGCTGCATCAGAAGAGACAAGCTACCACATACCCGAAGGAGTCCTGAAGGAAGGGCCCTTCAATCCCTAAGGACAATGGGGGTTTCTGAGTCATTTGGTTTTTTGCCCTTTGGGGGGCTCTCCACCCATCTCCCAAATAAGTCACACATGGAGGCTAATTCTTAATTATGACTGCCCAGCCTTAGCTTGACTTCTTTCTTGTCAGCTTTTCTTAAGTTATCCCATCTATGTTTTGCCTCTGGGCTTTTCCCATTCTCTTACTTCCGTAAATCTTACTCTTACTCTGTGGCTGGCTGTGTAGGTGGGTGGCCGGTCCCTGGAGTCCTCCTCCTTCTCTGGCTCCTTCTTTTTCATCTTCCCACCTTTCTCCTTCTATATATTCTCTCTGTCTGCCAGCCTCACTTATCCTTTCTCCTGCCTTACCATTGGCCGTTCAGTTTTTTATTAGACCATCAGGTGTTTTAGACAGGCACAGTAACACAGCTTCACAGAGTTAAACAAATGCAACATAAAAGTAACACACCTTAAAATAATATTCTACAACACTGAGTCTCATAGGATTTCAGTGTGGGGCCCAGAGGCAAGCTCCATACCATGACCTAGCCTGGCTTGGTCTATATGCCAGGCATGAGAAGGCAAGAAAGCACTAGGTAAAAATGAAGCTATAATTAAAGGTTGTCCTTGATCCAGAGATTGGGGGCTGGATTTGCTCACAGTTCCAAGTGGAAGGTAGAGAAATGAATTCCCTGTGAGAGCCGCAAAGTCACAGTTTTATCACTTTCTGTCCCAGAAAGCGAGTTGTGGGATTGGGGGTGGAGTACAGTCAAAGGGGAGAGGGTCAGCCTCTGGCCTATGATCTAACAAGAGATCTGGAGACAGTTTGGAGTCTATGGTAGGATGTGTGTATACTGTGCAAATGGTAAACCATTTTATATGTAAAGGACTTGAACTTCCCTGGATTTTGATATCTGTAGTTGTCTTAGCATTCCTATTGCTGTGAAGAGACACCATGACCGCAGAAACTCTTTTAAAGGAAAACATTTAATCAGGGCTGCCTTATAGTTTCAGAGGTTCAGTCCATTATCCTCATGGTGGGAAACACAGTGGCATGCAGGCAAATGTGATGCTGGAGAAGGAGCTGAGAGTTCTGTATCTTGATCCACAGAGAGCAGGAAGTAAACTGAGACACACTTCTTCCAACAAGGTCATGCCTATTCCAACAAGACCACATCTCCTAATAGTGCCACTGCCTATGAGCCAATTACATTCAGACTATCACAATAGTGGATCTTGGAACCAATTTTCTGTGAACATCAAGAGGCCGCTGTATTTCCCATTTCTCTCTCTCTCTCTCTCAACTTTAAATAGATGATCTTTATCAGTACCTTCTTGACTTGTGGCACATATACTTGGTAACACTGAATCTTCCTTCTACCCTGTTGGAATGGAAGGCCTATGAATCAGAAGCTCCCTTTGTCATACAGAATTGAAGGTAGTGCAGTGTCTTATTTCTCCTAATCCTTTGCCTCTGTCTAAGACTTCATCATGGCTGCCTCTGGCCTTGAGCCATTCTCCTACTAAAGCCCCTCTGAAGGGTGATCTCCTGTCAGCTTCCTCTCTGTGAACTTGCCATTATTTTTCTTTTATCTAACACCATAGTTGTCTATATTTTTTCCTATATCATCTAAGAGTTTTATGATTTTCTGTTTAATACATTTGAATTAATGGTCTTTTTTTTTCACATGGATGTCCAATTGTTCTAGGACCATCTGTTAGAAATACCATTTTCTTCAACTCATGACTTTATCTGTCATTAATATTAGTTGTCATTATCTGGTGGGTCCATCCTAAGCTCCCTCTTCTGTCCCATGGAGGCACTTGTCATTGTCTTGATTCTTGTAGCTTTATGGTGAGTCCTGAATGGTGACAATTTTCCATATTTGTTCTTTTCTCTCAAAGTCCAGAGTGCCAACCATTAGACTGTGGAACCAACCCTGTTCTTTTCCTTCAGTATTTTGCTGACTACACTGGATCTTTTCCTTCTTCACATAAACTTTAGAAAAAGATTATTTATATCAACAACTTAGTTTGCAATGACTTTTATTGGAATTGTATGGAATCTAAAGACCACATTGAAAATGACTGAAATTATGGCATAATCTGGCTATCCATGAACATGGAATATTTTCTCTTTTCAATGAAATCTTTGTTTTTTTAAATCAAGCTTTTGTAGCTTTGATACACACACACACACACACACACACACACACACACACACACACACACACATATATATAGTATGTACTTTGATAAATTTATACCTAAATATTTCATTGAATACCTCAGTTTTTAACTTTTTATGTTAATGTAATTGGCATTCTGTTTTAAATCTCAAATTTTATATAGTCATTGCTTGTGTGTAAGAAAGTGATTGACTTAAAATTTTTTATTTACTTACTGTTATTGGATGTGGTGTGTGTGTGTGTGTGTGTGTGTGTGTGTGTGTGTGTGTGTGTGTGTAAAACCACATGCGTGCTATGGTGTGTGTGTGGAGGTCAGAGGACAGCTCTGTGGAGCTGGCTCTCTTCCTCCACCTTCACAAGGGTTCCAGGGTTTGGACTCAGGTCATCTGTACCCACTGAACCATCTCCCTGGCCTGTGATTGGCTTTTGCATATTAACTTTGGATCTTGGAAATTTAATTTGTGTATTAGATCAAGAATAGTTTTCATTGTTGGTGTCCACTCAGATTTTTATCATAGTCATGAAGGCGTCTGTAAGCAAAGGGAGTTTTCTTTTCCTTCCTAACCTATATTTTACTGTATTTTCTTGTCTTCATTAGCTGGGACTTCCTGTTGTCCCAGTGAGGCCAAGGAGAGAAGGAATGAGGTAGGCAGTGTCCACAGGGCAGTGGATTGAGATATTCAAGGACTGCCTCAGAGGGACAGGTAGGTGAAGTACACTAAACTGACCAACTGTTGTCAGCAACCAGGGTCTTTACAGAAATCATCTTTGAAGCAAGGTGAGCCCTCAGACCCAGGAAGGCCGCCTTGCCTTTCTGGGCCAAGTCAGATGTTCCGGATAGTTCTACCGCAATGTGTTCTTTCTTCTCTTCATCTGGCACCTGCTCAACCTCTCCTTGTTTAATCCTCACAGGTCCGGACGAAGGACAAGGTCTTTGACAGCATCGGCCACCTCATCAACTACCATCTTGAGAGCAGCCTGCCCATCGTCTCTGCAGGGAGCGAGCTTTGCCTCCAGCAACCAGTGGAGAGGAAACACTGAGCTGGCCCAGCACCCTCTGCACGCCTTGTGCCAGGTCAGGAGGACCTGGGTCCACTGCTCTCAGCCTCTGGGAACTGGGGCCGCTGTCAGTGGGCACTTCGCCTTCCTCAAAAGCTCCTCCCAAGGGAGGTTTCCTTCAAGTTCAGATTTCATAAACATGTTCCACACATCTCAGATGCATATTAGAGGTGTATATACCCACACATCCTGTACAAATGGGCCCTATATTTATATTTTTTAAGACTAAGAAAGATGTGAGACTAATGCCCTATGCTGTATGTTTTTAGTGAGAGGCAAATTTGATGGTAGTTGTTCAGGCAAAAATTTTAATTCAGCTGACCTACTGGGAAATTTTGCTAGGAAGGTGTAATCTGCAGTTCTATATAAGCACAACACAGGGTGAATGCAGGTGAGCTGGCAGCTCCAGAACAAACAGACTTAAGATAGAATATGGCAGCATGCTGCCCAAACATCTGCTCCTGCCCCTACAGCTCATATGAGTGCTGGTTCTGGGCTGTAGCTTTGTTCACAGATGGATGTGCCTCCTCTGGCTCTGGCTTCTGTACCCCCAGACAGATGGCATGTGAATGGGTTTTCTGTCACATGATGACCCACTGAAGCCCCACTCCAAAGCAGGTGGTACTCTGTCTTTTTTCTGGGGTCATGTTTCAGGTCATGTTTGACCCATGTTGTTTGGGTCATGGGGATCCATCACCTTTGACCCCAGTTGTGTGTGTATGGATTCGGGGCATTCATTCGAGGCCAAATATGTTACAAAATACGACTTAAGATCTCCAATTGACAAATGCTTCCTTTGTTTTCATCAGTATAGTGATGAATGTCTGTGGAAGGCAGGCTATGGAAAGTATTCCTGGTCTGTATGTCCTTCAAGCCAGTGTGTTCATCACAGGCTGTGCGTGGAAGGTGTTGGTGAAATGGCCTCCCACCTACCTCTTGTGTTCAGTAGAGCAAAAAGCATGTGTAAGAGCCTTGCAAGGCATGTACCAGCTTCTGCCCAGAATTGAGCCTTGGAGACACACCCACTGTCTTGTTCCTCCCATTTCAGTGTATACTGGGCATCATGCTCCAAAGTCTTTGGAGCCAGCTGGAGTGAAGGATGATGGTGAGCCCCTTCCTCTCCCCTCCACATCTTCTCAGTAGCCCAATGAAAAGGGATCACACCCATGGCCCTCTGTCTTGACCCTCTTCCTACCAGCTCAGAAGCTGTTGATTCATGGTGGGTGATTTCATGCTTGAAAATTGGCTGTGTCTATGACTTAAAAAACATTTGGGCTGTGATCACTCTGTGACTTAACAAACACAGGCAGATGATGCATTTGTTGGTTGGTACTTCCTCATAAGACTGCAACCTGGGCTCTGGTCCCCATGAGACCCCATGAGTGTGGCACCTCTGGTCAGTAAAATAGGACTTTGAACACTTTAGGGTTGGACAGTCATAAATTGGATGTTTTAAGAGGAATTATGTGTGTGTATAGAGAGGGTGTCTAGTGTTTAAGAACACTAGCTTCTCTTCTAGAGGACTTAAGTTCAATAATGCTCAGCACCCACATGGCAGCTCACAATTGTCTGTAACTCAAATCCCGGGTATCTATCTTCTTCGGGCCCCTATGGGCACCAAGTAGACACATGATGCACATACACATTTGCAAGAAAAAAATACCCATATGTATAAAAATAAACTAATATTTAAAAAAGAGTAGTTAAGGGGAAACTTAACCATTAGGCAAATAAGGGTTCTGCATGGCTCTAAAGCTAAGCGTGTGAACACTGCTTTTCCTGCTGTGTAGTCAGTTGGGTGCCAACGGGTGAGTCTGGGTCAAGAAGATCCCAGGCTCTGTACATGAGAGCCTCTTTTCAGTTTTTACCCTTTGAGGGCCCACTGAATCCAAGTTGGCAGTAGCATGTTCTAGAATTAGAATTCTGGGGAACCTAGCATCAACACTCACTGGCCTGCTTCATCCTGAATGGTGTTGGTGGCAGACACTACATGGATGAAGCCTTGGAGATGAGCAGATATACTGATAGCCCCTGGCTCAGGCTCTTGCCCTGGGACCATATATATACATAGGCTTTGGGATGCTCCTAAGAGTCACCCAGCATTCTGTCCCTCAGGAGGCTATGCCTTGTGCACACACATACAGGTCCTGTTACTCCCGTGTGTGAATGTGTACTACATACAAATATATATATACCTCCCCCCCCCCCGTTCTTGAATTCTCCATGTTGTGCAAGGCTAAAATGCCTATGTTCAGGTCACCAGTAAAGTGTTGCAGACCGTTAGCACCTTAGCACTTGCTCTGCTTTATTTCCCTCTCCAGGGAAGTTAAAAAGCAGCACTCAGAATTATATCAGTCTTCTCTGAAGTCAGTGTTGAGTTTGAGGGTGATAGGATTTATAGGAATCAATTTAGAATATTGAAAGTATTGGAGTCAATGTTTTCCTTTTCAATTTTAATTCAAAATATGTAATTTTGATCTCAGATTACAGGACTGGACATGTGCTTAGGGAAGTCTTTCAGACACAAGGCAGCCATGTTCTGACCTATGTTCCCTGTAAAGTATGTCAGAGGTCACACAAGTTTATCATTTCCTTCTATAAACACTGTGTATATGGTGGGACATTCCCTCAAACATCACTTACACATGGGGAAACTGAGGCTCACTTCAGGTCCCTTGGTCAGCTAACAGCCGAGTCATTCTCCTCACTCAGTGTTTTCTGTGCACAGCTGTGGGCTAGTCTGTGCTTGGAGACCAGGCTTTGGAGGCAAACCCAGCAAAGCCTCATCCTTGAGCCTGAGTCCCTCTTTCTTTGGTTTCCTGCCCATATCTGCCTGGGTAGGGCAGGGTTACAGGCTACAAAGCAGCAACTCCAGGCAGAACAGCACTATATCGTGCATTCAGGTCTTCAACTCCTGGGCACAGTGGCTGAGTCTATGCCCAGCATCAGCATTCGAAGTGTGTCTGGATCCTATGCTCCTTCTTGTGGGCATCCTGCTACAGCACCCAGAACTCTGCATCTATTAGTGGTGCATGATGGGGCCCAACAGTCTTGAAGCAGCCTGTCTGCTCTTGCACAGTGGCCCTAAAGCTCCTGCCTAGTCCCTCTTTCCCTTGCCCTCCTGGGAGAGTTAGCTGTGCTTCAAATAGCCTCTCCATGCTGGTGAGGCTGGTTGGGCTTCCCATGGGGCTGCTCATCATTGTCTAGGTTGGCTCTGAACTTCTCCCCCCACCATCAGGTGGGCAGTCTGCTAACGACCCATTCAAATAGCTCCATCTTGAATCTACACTTAGGTTGCCATGGTGTCCTTCTTGTATTTAAAGAACCAAGAGCTGGGTGCCTGCTCAGCCTTGATGAGCAGCTTTCTGTTACAGGCCATCTCAGATGGTGGACAGATGGATTGATGCCAAATAGGCCACATGTGGCAACTGTGCGGTTGTCCTGGCAACAGAGGCAGTTGTATGTAAGTAAAGGCTGTGATACACCATGAGTGGAAGGAAAAGCCTAGATTGGAAGGGAGGAAAAGACAAGGGAGAATGAATTCCCCAAAGTCCATAGGCTCCAGGTCTCAGTTGCCATGTGTCCAGGCTCCATGTCCATCCTGGTGTCCTGAAAATGCCCCCTTCCCCAAAGGGAGGCTTTCCCCATGGCAGCATCAGACACCTAGGAGGCTTCCCTATGGGAGTGGCCATAGAGGGGACACCTCATTTCCATATTAGAGCCAATATCACATCCTCTTCTTGTTGGAGTGAGTTGAGTAGAAACCCCATGTCCCCGAGATGGTGATGCAGCAGTGGCCACCTCAGTAAAGCTCAGCCCCAGGACACCTAGAACAGTAAAGCTCAGCCCCAGGACACCTAGAACAGTGTGGCTTTGGCTGCCAGATGGGTTCTCTGAGCCGTGGCTTGTGCCACACCCTAGGGCTTTCCTCAAGGAGCAGTGTGGATTGATAAGTATGTGAAGGTTTCTTCCTGGGACTCTTCATTCACAAAGCATATTTCTCTTCTCCCCCACAAGCCAAAGATGTGGTATGCCATCTATAAACAGCCCTGTGAATGGTGACAGCCAGATTTTAAGTAGGAGGAGGATAGAAGAAAGATTGCAAAAGAGATCATGTGCCCAGACAAATCTGTGTGATGCTAGTTCTTATGAAACTTTTGAAGTTTTTTCCAAGAAAGACAGTATAGATAAACCCCACTCCTGGAACATAATTACAAATCTAGACTGCTTGGCTTTGTCTGAGATAATGAGCAGGTGTTTCCAAGACAGTTCAGCTGTCTTGGAGAGAACCCTTGTTTTTCAGGTGAAGAAACTGAGCCAGGCAGTGGATGGCAATAGTCAGTGGCTAGATCTTGGAAAGCATGCAGGACTTACTAAGGCTTTTTGAGGCTCAAACATGTAGCTCACTCTATGGAACAACAAGCAGTCCATTTATCCTCATATCTCACATTTCAAAACACATGAAGGACTCAGCCATTTACATGAGAGACAGGACTTGTGGTTGGTGACTTAGCTGATGTTCTCCCAAAAGGCGGCACCAGAGGGGATTTGGGTACATATAGCTTATTTTGGAAATGATCCCAGGACTCAAGAGGGAAGTGGCTGATAAGGAATTGTTACATCGTGGAGCATGTTTCTATCAAGTGTACACCTGGGGCATCTACCAGCTGCTGAGCGTTGGGAGCAGAACTGAACACACCTGAGGTAGCCAGTGGAGGGGGCGGGGAGGGGTTCCACTGCAGTCAGCATGGGTGGAAGGCTGTCTCCAGTGGTTTCTGCCATGCCCTGTGTACACCCATGCATTCTCTGCAAGCTGGGACATTCTGGAGCAGAGGCTGGCATTTATAATAAACAGTCAGAGCAGAAGGCAGATGTCAAAGCAGCAGGCTGCTTAGCCCACACATAGATTTTAGGGCTCTGCCCTTCGAGCTCCCATCTCAGTGGGCCTAGAGCAAGGATAGCATGCTTGCATTTTCAGTATGAGGATGATGGGTATGCCTGGGGTCTCAGCTTTGACATTGACTGGTGAGTATTCTAGCCCTTCCTTGACTCTTACTGGTGGCCCCCACACCCCTCCCCTACCCCACCTTTTATGAAGAATTTTTTCACACCACTTCATGTCTTAGATCCCAGGTCCATTCTGTGGAGAATTAATAAGTACTTATAACTCCCTGCAACTGTGGCTGGCAGATAAAATGCCATCTGCCAGACAAGATTTATTTATAATGGGGTTTATACATATTTATAAGTTTGCAAGCAACAAATGCACAGTTTTAAAACTGGCACATTTTATAGCAGCCAGAAAAAAAATCTTGCAACTTTCTACCAGGTTTTTTGAGTGTGAACTGCATGTGTACATTACACACAAACACAAACTTTCCTTGATTTGGATGGAATGTGCACCTCACTCAGCATGTGTGTCCACACACAGATCAACTCTGCTGGGTATCACGAGCCCCTGGGTTTTTCTAACATGAACAACTGTCAATCAAAATGGCACCAAGAGCTAGGGGATTAATAGACTCTCATCAGCAGACTCAAGGAGCAGGGTTCTGGGTGCTGTGGAACGTGAGACCATGGCACAGAAAGGGAAGGAATGGCTTGCAAGGAGAGTCGGGGAGGAGTGTCACTGTGGGCCGTGCCCGGGGGAAAGCAAGCCAGGTATAGTGATGATGTTTGCAATCCCAGCACTTGGGCGGTAGAAGCCGGAGGGCAGTCAGTGGAAGATAAGGAAGGGCAGATGTTGGGTAAAAGGAAAAGAGATGAAACAACTATAGACGCACATCTGTTCTGGCTCCAGTACTGCTCAGGCATAGCCTGACTTGGCTTGCCAGCCTTCCTGGCCACATTGGTACAGCATGTCCTAGGTAGCTGGCCCTGGAGGGACTCTTGGGACAGAGAAGGAAACATAGGTGGATCTGCCCCTGTTTATAATTTAATAGGAACCCCACCCCTAACACACCTGGGGCAGTGTGAGAGTGTTGGCGTGCGGGAGGCCTTTCAGTGCTGGTGTGCCCACATCCAGTTAGGACCCAGCAAGGGTCAGGACTGAGCTGGGGTTCCGAAGGCTTTGCACAGTGGGTGGCACTGTGTGCCTGCGAGGCAGAAAAGTGTGCAAAAGTTCAAGATGCAACCCTGCCTGGAAACTGCTGGTGTCAGCAGGATGCTGAAGGCAGGCTACGAGCCTGCCTTTCCTCTCACTCAGATGCCCTGGGTAAGTGAATCTCCGAGACCTCCCAAACACATTAATCATTCTTGTCTTAGGGTAAAAGAAACCACAGGAACTGAACAGCTTTATGTGCCCATTGTGCATAAAGGACCATCCTGTGGGGTGAACCTTCTAAGGTACTGGTTCACACTGTACCCACAACACTTTCCCACAACCAAAGCCACTAACACTGGAGTCAAGAGACAGCTCACAAGGCAGGGATGAGTGGACTAACCAAGCTTGGGCGATGAGTTTTCTTTTCTTTCTTTTTTTTTTTTTTAAATTTTAACACTATGTGTGAGTTGTCAGTTGACTGTTCTCTGTTCAACCGACTTTTGGATATAACTTGTTTTAGAGTATTATGAAATTATGTGAGTTTCTTTGTATTCAGAATTAAACATTTGATGTTTAAAGACCCAGGATTAGGAGACAGCTCAGTATAAATGTCTTGTGTAACAAGGTATTTAATAGTTTTTCAAAAGCATTTGGATGGCCATGCATATTGATATATGGGTATTTGGAAATTTTTTGTTTCTGTCAACTTTCGTGAGACAGACTATTACTGTAGCAGCAGTCTGCCTGGCTTATGGCCGACCTGCACCTTTCTTCTCTGATCCTGGCATGGAATTGGCTTCCTGAGTCACCTGTGAGGAGCAGAAACACAAAACCAATTTCAAGTTTTCTGATATTTTTCTATGATAAAACTTACATGATTTGGTGAACATTTGGAGATCCCAAGATACGACAGGCAAAGGTAATTGGCTTGGACTGCCTTACCTCCAGGGACTCCATCTTGCTCTTTCGGGGAATGGTGTTGCTGTCTGTCTCATGCCCTTCACCATGGGCCTGGCACACCACACCCAAGCTTCTGGGATGACCAAGTGGAGGCAGAATACAGCATCCCTCCCCATGGCCCAGATATGGCAGGTGGCAGTCAAGGGCTGTAGACAATGCTGCTCTCCTTGTTATTCCTAGGTACTGGAATATGTGCCTTCATCATCTAGACAGCCATCCATGCATTCTGGATTCCATAGTAGCCCCTCTGAATCTCTGACTTAGACACTAAAAACATTTGGGTGATGAGGTTTGCATTTGTCCACACAGTTTCCAAAGCATGGAACCAGCATTGTAATTAGACATTTTCTATTAAACGTACCTTGTTACAATTCTGTGAACAGCTCTTTCCCAGCACAGAAGAACCATGGCTCAAAGATTGAGAGAAGCAAACATTTTTAAATAGTTAATTGTTTCAGTGACTATAGGTGTAAGTCTGTTGGCAATAAAGGCTACTGTGAAAAGTTGTCTCCTGTTTGCGTGATGGAGCTTATGTTTGTATGGTGCCGTAATGCATGTGTAGAAGACAGAGGACAACTTGTGGGAGTCAGTTGTCTCCTCCTATCATGTGGGTCCTGGGGGTCTAACTCGGGCCATCAAGTTTGGCAGCAAGTGCCATTGCCCGCTGAGCCAACTCGCCAGCCCCAAATCTTATAATGCTTCACAGAAGACAGGAGGATAGATTGAAAAGTTTTCTCTAGAAATTAAGTGTTCTGCTTTTCCTCAAAAGAAAAAATGGTGACTTTGGCAGAAACACTTCAAAAGATTCACACTGACTTTGCGATCTGAAACACAGATGGCCGTGGGCAGGTCAGAGGTGAGAGACAGTGGGAAGGCTGCCTTGGGGATTTTCAGCTACAAGTTATAACAACTGTAGTCTCCAGAACAACATGCCAAACATGGATCCTCTTTGTCTGGCATCCAGGTTAGAGGCTAAAAGTTACCACTTGTACGACAGAGAGCCAGTTCCAAGGGCTGGTGCTGACCTGCTTGCCCGTCTTGCACAGCATTGGCAAACACCACCCAGTCTGATGCTCTCTGCTCAGACAATGTTTCTATTTTTTATTTTGTAATTTCTCCCCTATAGAGGGGCTATTACCATTCTTCCAAACCTGGGATCTAGGCTGGGAATGACTCCATGGGGATGCCTTCTACCTACATAAAAGCCTCACCCGGCAGTTTGTGTCTGTAATCCCAGCAGGAGGAAGACAGATCGCAGGGGCTTGCTGGCTAGTCAGTCTAGCCAAACAGGCGGCTTCAGGTTCAGTGAGAGACTCTGTCTCAAAAACTAAGATGGAGAGCAACAGAGCAAGACACCCAACATCAACCTCTGGCCTCTACTCCTGCCTGCACAATACACACACGTGCACACACATGCACACACCACAGACACATGCTCACCACCACCACTACCAACAACAGTAAAACAGTATCTCCCCAGACTGGTATCCGTAGCATCCAGCACACTAAAGCTTCAATGTAACATCACTTACGAGATGGGGCTGGGGGATAATGGGACACAGTGACTGGGTTACTAAATGTGGTTTATTCCTGAAATGCTGTGAGACCAGGTACCAAGGGAGAAGCAAGACCACCCCCTTACACCCCCAAGTGTCTATTGTGAAACAGTAAAACAGTCTACCACACAGACCCCAAGAATGGGTTTTATATGAAGTCTTTTAGTTTTATTAATTATTAATAAACATAAACTGCAAGTAGTAAAGGTTGCTCACAGCCCTGGGTGGGCCCCAGGTTCTCTGGTGGCAGGTCACTTGTTTCTGACTGTCAGGGTGAGGGTTGCACACACTCGACGTCTAAATGCTGTACAGGTGGCTAGCTAGTGAAGCAGTGAACACTGGTACCACAGGTGATCACAATTTTGAGTAAATCAAGTGAGCACAATTAGATTTTAGTGTATTCTTAAGTTCAATTGCTTCAAAGTCTGTCATGCTACAAATGGTGTTGCCTCCTAGCAGGAATGGTAGGCACGGCTCCCAGCAGGGGCTGCCAAGTAGAAACAGCCACAGGGGGATATCACCAGCCAGGGTCATGCAAAATGTGTTATTGATATTAGTGACCCAGGTCCATCCTCAAGGCACAAAGGTGCATGTCCTCCAGCCCTTCTGTTCCCACCTCAACTCTGCCACACACTGCTCTATTTTTTTTTTCGTTTTTGCTTTTTATGTTTGTTTGTTTGTTTTGTTTTCCTTAGCCCGACACTTTCATGCTTTCCTTTCCCAGAAATGCCTTGGATTGTCAATGCTTGTGACAAGAGAATAAGTTCTTTTTTTTCTCAGTGATGTAGAGAAGAGCACAGAGCAATGCTCCACCAGAACATCTTCTCGGCAGCGTGCTGTATCCACCAGGAGTGACGTGAAGGAAACTCTTTAGTCAATCAGCCCATGGTTACCTAGGATCCCTAAGCAAGAACAAATGCCATCAGGTAACCACCAAGAGTGAAATCAGCTTACAAAGGCTCCTGGTGTGTAAAGGCAGGGTTCGTAAGGCAATGGTCTCTGACACTAATCAACTTACAGGGAGCTCTGACATGAGGTTCCCCCCAAGTGAGAGTCCTTTGGAAGGCCTCTCTGGGAGCATGGGTGCTGGCCAGCCCTCCAGACACAACCGACGACATTCCATCTGTGTGGCCTGTGGCTGGAGTCCTTGAGGAGGGGCAGTTCAGAGGTGCCGTCTGAGCGCTTCCTTTACAAAGTGGACAAAGGAATGCAGGTCCAAGTGGTGGGGGCATCCACCATAAGGGAATGACGATGCTTCTTTCTGAAGAATGTACAAATAGCCATGTCACACCTCCTAGCCTGGCAGAGTCCTCTCACTGAATGGTCCTGGTCAGGGCTCACGTTGAGGGAGTTGAGAAGCTTTGCTGATAGCTCCAGCTCCTTGCCAGTGACAGCAAAGGGGACGTTTGACATTGAGCTTTTCTATGTAGAATTGAACTCAGCATCATCCAGCTGAAGGCTGGCTTGTAAACCTCACTGCTGGCAGCTCCCACATGCAGCAGACTGACTCCCTTGGAAAGGAGACCCACAGTGGAGAGCACCTTACCTCTCCTTATGGGCTCTTTCCTTAGTGGGTTCTGAGAGAGCCTAGCTGGCTTTTCTGTGATGTTCAGAAATGCCCAAATTATCACATAATTTGGCTTTCAGATGTGCTTAAGTTTATGCATGGGACACAAGAGAGAGGGACCTACACATCTGGGCTTCTCTTTGGTGAGGCTTTTGAGAACACAGAGCTTTAGTAACTTTTCACTACTATGAGCTAAAACGCCAATGCTAGAGGACTGGGAGGGGTGCATCACCTTAGCATGTGGTGGTGACCTTGAACCTGGTAGAGCAGTGGGGGCAGGTTTGGAGAGACAGTTCCATAATGCATGGAGGACTGGCACTTCATGTGGGTTCTACCTGGGAAAACCTGGTGTACACATCCTAGGCAACACAGAAGCAGACAAACACATACATGAGCACCCATTCTGTGAAAAATAAATGTAGTGTGAAAATAACAAAACATCATCCCAAGGTGCACTGTGCATAGCACATCACCACCTGCCCTCTGGCACCTGGACCAGGGAAAGTGGCATCCAAAGGCAGTGGATGATATCAGCAGCTTGGTACATTCAGAAGGATGGAGCCTGCATGCAACAGACAAGGCACGTCCATATCCAGGCTGAAATGTGTTGATGGTTCCTTGGGTCTCCTCCTCAGAAGATGCCCACACTGTGGCCACATCAAGCAGACCTCCAAAGTCAAGGTCTCTAAAAGCCCACATGGAAGTAACACATGCAATAAATAAGTGTGCTGCAGAGCTGGCCCTTTGGAGACGGTCACTTGCAGAGGACCCCATTTTGAAGTGGTCTGTTTCTGTCAGTGATGCAGGAAGAGGTGGCCACATGGGGCACGTCTTCCTTGACCTTTGGGGAATGGCTGCTGTTGTTACTGGAGCTTGATTTACTTCTGCTTGGGTCAAGAGCAGGCTGCATGGGTGAGGCCTGGGTCCTGTTGCCCCTGACTAGACAGCCACACACCAGTCGGAAGAAGGCACGCCGCATCTCTTTGCTGGCCAGAGTGTAGATGACAGGGTTCATGGCAGAGTTGAGGACAGCCAGCATGATGAACCATTGGCTCTTGAACAGGATGGAGCACTCCTTCACCCTGCAGGCCACATCAATGAGGAAGAGGATGAAAATGGGGGACCAACAGGCTATGAACACGCTCACCACTATCACCACGGTCCGCAGCAGGGCCATGGATCTCTCGGAGTTATGGTTGGCCACCCTTCGGCTGCTGGACTTAACCAAGAAGTAGATGCGCGCGTACAGGATGACGATGGTCACTAGAATGGCTGTGAAGATGCTGATGAGGAAGGCGATGTACTTCTTAGAGTAGAGGGGCAAGATGGTAGAGCAATCAGGAAAGTTCTCCAGGCAGTTCCAGCCCAGGATGGGCAGGGCGCCCAGCGAGAAGGCAATCAGCCAGCACATCCCAATCAGAAGGAACACGCGGTGTTTCTTGTTGGCGTCATAGGGCCTCATCTTGATCATGGTCAGGTGCCGCTCAATGGCAATGGCCAATAAGCTGCAGGTGGACGCGCCGAGGGCCACGAACATACTGCCCTCCCTGAGGAACCACACTGTCGGAGACAGGCTGAACGTCTTCCTGCCCGACATCAGAATGTTGACCTTGTAGGCTATGCCGGCCAGCAGGTCGCAGAGAGCCAAGTTGCCGATGAAAAAGTACATGCGGTTGTGAAATTTATTGTTTTTCCAGATGGCAATCAAAACCATCAGGTTCTCCAAGACGATGAAGCTACAGGTGACCAAGAAGAGGACGGTGGTGACGAGGGTTCCACCGTCAGGGGGGTCCCGGTCCCGCCTGCCTGCTAGCTTCCCTACGTAATCGTAATGTTTCCGGAGAGTATCATTCCCAAAGATAGGCTGGTGGTCCTGCGCATGCGTAGCCATGACTGTCTATAGACAGATGGTTACCTCAACAGTCCACGAGAGGGCGCTCCAGGAACGTTCATTTCAAGGAACAATTGGGACGGTGGTGGTGGATTCGGGAAGGCGTGCAAGCCTGGATCCAGTAAGAGTGTAGAAAAAAGGCTCTGTAAAGAGATAAAGTAGAGGGAACCTTGGATCAAGTGATCACTATGAACTGACCCTCGGTGTGGAAAATGCTAACGCATTTGGAGGGCTGGTGTACAGGGAGAGCTTGGAATGCAGGCCAAGTTTCTAAGATAGAGACCAGGAAAAGCTGTTAGGGCCCTGCAGCTGCCAGAGAAGAAACCTCAGTGCGCGAATCTGAGAATCAGGAAACCAAGGCAGAAGATGCGAGCAAGCTTCCACTTGGAAACCTCCAGGCACCAGGAAATACTGAGTTAGTTCTCACCCGCCGCGTGGGAGCTGGTAAACCACTCTTCCCAGCTGCAGAGGGAATCCGATTTTTCTCAGGATG